GACTGAAAAACGTTCTGAAACTCTCAAAAAGAACAAAATAACACCATTTTGGAGATAATTTAGTGACTTTTTTTATATATTTTCGATGAAATTTCGCGAAATAATTGCATTTCTGACTGAAAAATATGCTAAAAACGATGTTAATTTAGTGGTTTTGGGGAGAAGTTTAGCAAAAACATGAGTTCTTTAGTCAAAAATGCGCTTAAAATTGCTAGAAAGACAAAAATCACAAAAATTTTAGTTTATTTTTTTTTCTTCTTAAAAAAAATATTTTTTGTCATTTTTGAACAGGTCATTTCAGAGAAAATAAGTTTTTTTTCAAAATGAGCTTAAATACCCAAAAAAGGCAAAAATAACACCATTTTCGGTGTAATTTGGAAATATTAAAACACACTTTTCATGAAATTTTGCGCAACAATTGTCTGACTTAAAATTTGCAAAAACAAGACAAAAATGATATAATTTTTCATCAAATTTGGTGATTTTTAGTCCATAAATATGCCCATATACTCAAAAATGGTAAAAATAACTCCATTTCGACTTAACATGTAGACGAATTTTTGTAAAATAACTCTATTCTCGACCGCAAAAAGTGGTTAAACGCTCGAAAAAAGCAAAATACAGTTGCTTTTAGTCCGATTTTATGCTTTTTCAGTCCAATTTTGCAAAAAACTGAGTTTCTAGCTTAAAAATGTCTTTAAACGTTTCAAGAAAGTAAAAAATAACACCACTTTTAACTTAATTAAGTAACTTAATTAATATATGAGCCATTCCACGAGAAAAGAAAAACAACATTGGAAAAAATTAACAAAATCTAATCTAAGCCGCTTAAGTGAAATTAAGTAAATTAAACGTTCTATTTTAAGTGTCAAGCAGTTTCAGTATCATTGTCACAATATTAATTTTAATATTACTTATTGTTTCCATACATGCAGCGGTATTTCATTTATTTAAGAATACTTCATTATAATCAAGTAGGTGCTTGTCATAGTTACTACAGGAATTTAACCAAAAGCGAGTGTCATTTTACAGAGGTAATATTGATTGTGTCTTTAAAGTGTTTGCAGGTTTATTAAGGTAAGTGTAAATAGTTTTATTTCTGTATTAACTATTTTAATTTTTTTGTCCCGTCCGTTAACAAAAACATTAAAAAATTCCCATCAAAACTTTTGTAGAGAAAACACGAGTTGGTTTTCTCTCTTATTACTTAGTTCAAATAAATGATGCTTGATATCCTAGGTTTAGTTCATATTACAAAGTCATTAATATTTTTTTCTTAAATTAATAAAAATGTCCCGTCCGTTATCAATTTTGTTCGGACGTAAACGCAACGCATAAATTACGTTGCATTTTGCTCATATTGTACTATTTTTAGAAATGCACGGTGGCAATCAAAGTTTACATGTTTCGGAAACTCGAAATGATAAAATAAAAATGGCAATGCGGAAGTACCGTGCGAAAATTAGAGAAAATGAGGAGAAATGGAACGAATATAGAAAAAAAGATGCTGAAAGAAAGGCTAAAGAAAGGATTACAAAAAGAAGTTTGCTAAGAGAAAACGAAACGCTAGCAAAAACCATGAGACAGAAAGAAAGAGAAAGAAAAAGGATATACAGACTGAAGCAGAGAAAACTAAAACAGAGAAACAGTAGTTTGAATACAGGATATAAATGCAAACAAACATTAGGAAAGGCATTGAAAAAAGTAAAACGGATGCTGCCTGGAAGTCCTAATAAAAGAAAAATCGTAATAAAGCATTTGGCATTAGAAACAATGCCTGAATTATTAAAACCAGAAAATAATGACAGTAAGAGGGTTGGTGTGCCAAATCCAGAGCATAATCTGATAACTGAGTTTTTTAACAGAGATGATGTCAGCAGGCAAGCTCCAGGGAAAAGAGATACAAAAAGTGTGAAAGATATATCATCAGGGAGGAGAGAAGTATTCCAAAAGCGCCATATGATATTGACAGTGAAGGAAGCATTTGCTTATTATAAAGTCCTTTATCCAGAAACTTCAATCCAAAAAAGTAAATTCTATAATTTAAGACCTAAACATGTGTTACTATCTTCAGATATGCCACATAACGTTTGTGTGTGTAAATACCATGCAAACTTTAGTTTTTTAATTGAAACAATTCACAATAAATTTTTAAATTTCCCTGAATCTTCCGCTAAACTGTTAGAAAAAGTTTGCTGCGATATAACCAACGAAACATATATGACCAACGACTGCATGAGATGTGAAACCGATTTGAGCTTGTCCTTGTTATCTGTTTCTCAATATGTCAATATGGATAACATTATTTTAACATGGAAACAATGGCAGGACATTGATGGCCGTCCTCAGATTGCTAGTACAGAAGCATCACTTCGGACTGCAATTAAGACTCTTGAGAATCAACTAAATCAATTCAAAATTCATTTTTATGTAAAAAGAGTCCAAGAACAGTACTTTCAGTCGACAAAAGAAAGTATCAGCTTGAATGAAGTCGTGATTCAAGTTGACTTCGCCGAAAATTACTCTTTGGTGCCACAAGATGAGATACAAGCTGCCCATTGGTCACACAAGCAAGTAACAATTTTTACATGTGTTGCCTGGTTAACCAACTCTACGGAATCATTTGCAATTGTTAGTGATGACTTGACCCATAGTAAATATGCCGTCTATGTTTTCATAAAGAAAATTATAAGAGTACTGCAAGATAAATTTAAAGAGATTAACAAGATTAAATTTTTTTCTGACGGTTGTGCGGCACAATTTAAGAATAAATATACTCTTTCAAACTTATGCTTTTTTCCGACTGATTTCGGCATCTCCGCAGAATGGAATTTCTTTGCCACGTCACATGGTAAAGGGGCTGTAGATGGAATAGGAGGTCTAGTTAAAAGATTGGTGTGGATGGAAGTAAAGTCAAAAAAATCGAAAATAAATAGTGCGTATGACTTTTACCAATGACTAAAGTAACTAATGTGCATGTAATGTTAATTACCAAAAGCGAAATAGAAGAGATTAAAGAAATGTTGGATGGAAGATGGCAAAAAGTATCCAGAATCCCTCAGGTTCAATCAAAACACTGTTTTAAGGCCGAAAGTCCGCATCGTTTAATCATCAAACGTACTTTTGAATCATCAGCAGATGTATGTAGCATTCTCACATAGCCTAAGTTTCTATGCCATTTGTCAGTTATCGTTGATGTTTTGTAAGTCTTTTGATTGTCGCTTTCAATGGTTAATAACATTATTTTCTAAATATGAAACCTAGAATTAAGTTATGTCCCGTCCGTTATGTCCCATCCGTTATGCAATTTAAAAATATAGACATTTCTTCTATGTTTACAATGCTCATGATTATAGTATTCCGCATTAGGATAAGCATTCAAAAATTAACATGCAAAAATTTCAATGTCCGTTTATATGCCAAATTGCAGAATTTAAAAGAAAAATCCTATATTGCTAAATCATACAATTTTTTCTTGTCCCGTCCGTTATCAGTCTTTTTTATTTAATATTAATATGAAGTGAAGCTAATAGAAAAATAGTGCTGTGATTTCAAGTTCTAGTAACTATAAGCTAACTACGCATTCGTATAAATTGGTATTTAGGATGACAGTTTTTCTAAATTTATTTGAACAATATATTTTTTTTTGCAAAGTGTCCTGTCCGTTATCGTGGAATGGCTGATATGACATCTCAGTTTCATATCTTCTGTCTTGTTCAATCTTGCCCAACTGTATTTCAAAATCACTAACCACTTTGACGTTTGTAAGGTTTTTAACAACCAACAACACTTATTGTTTTCTAAATGCCTTGATTTAGCGACTTTAGGCTTTTCATGCAATTTAAACGTACATTTGTAGCATTAATAAATAGTATATTAAAGTAGAAGTTGCAGAAGGTATCTATTCGAGCACAAATTTGAAATTCCGAAACGAGCCGCGTAGCGGCGAGTTGAGGAACAAATGAGTGCTTGAAGAACCTTCTGCAACAAGTGCTTTATACTATTTTTTCTATTTTGCCGCTTTATATCATTTTATAAATTAAAAAACGAAAATTTATTTTTTTTTCTAGAGAATTTTGCGACGGTTGGCGACATTGAGGTATGTGGAATAATTTTAGGCGGCTGTACAAAATAAAAATAATTCATATTTTCACATTTTAAAAATGAATTGTGAAGAAAGTCCGACTTATTCTAACACCGAAATTGAAAAAAATATTCCATGTTTTAACCCTTTCACTGCGGCTAGAGTAAAGCGTAGCACGTATTCGTGTGCGGATAAAAAATGTGTTTATTTATTTATTTTATTTAGGAAATTTAACTCGCAAAATTTCGTGCAGACAGACAGACAACAAAGCAAGTTAAATAAAAGCTTAACAAATAAACAAAATTCTAAAATTAACTTTGTTATGAACGCTTTAATATTAGGTAATTTTGAAGAAATTTGAAGAATGGCCTATGAGTTGGCAATGTTGAGAAAAGTAAAGACAGCAATTATTTTAATTAAAGAAATCAAAATTTATACGAAAACTATAAAAATAAAAAAAAGTTGATAATCAACTATACATTATTTATGCACGAGCTAAACGAGCTATTTAATGGTTAATTAACCTTCTGCACCCTTGCACTTGCCTAGAGTAATTTTCATTATTAAGGTTGAAAAGTGAGTTTTTCTTATTTTAACACAAAATCAAAACTTTGCTCAAGGATGTTATAGAGAATATTGTAAGAGATAAATAATTAAATAAGTTGATAAGTGGAAAAACAAAGATTGATTATGAAAAATTATTATTTTACATCATTGCGTCTATACTCACTTCCTGTTTATGTAAATAATTAAAAAAACTATATGTAATCTCTTGCTTAAGCTATTGTTTATTTTATTTTGTAACATTTAAGACTAGAATACTTATTTTCTCATTATTATGTTATTATTTTTTATTGAATTCTAATCTCTAGATCATGTATTTATTGTGTGTAAATTTCGAGTTCAAATAAAATAATTTTCACTTATCACCCATATATTTATTATCTCAATTCAATACATCATCTGTTATCATAACATTAAATGTGCTATTATTTTCTAATCTTATCTGCACTGTAAGTAATTATGTTTATGTTTATCATAGTTCAAACACATTTTTTTTCAATTAAGACCACCAAATCTTCAAATCCAATTCCTTTTGGCAAACTCCTTAACAACGAAAGCAAACTTCCTTTTATGTTCCTCACTACCAGCTCCTGCTATAATATTATCAACGGAAAATTCCGAAATATCCTTTACTTTACTCTTATCAGTAAAAACAACAAAAAGCATAAAAGCCACATGACCGAACTGCGAATTCCTTGCCTCAAAATCAAGCTCTTTCTCAAACTCCTCAAAACCAAACTTCTGAACATCACATTTAACTCCTTTGAGTAGAGAAATAAAATTCTCGTAATACCATTTGAGGAGGTCCTCAAACCACCGTTCCAAAACCTCAATTTTGACACTTGAAAAGAGAAAAAAGAGCACATCCCGGGCTGGAGACCCATACCCGCACACTTGATAATCAACCAATTTGCAATCCACAGCCTCCTGTTTATCAAACTTGACCAAACTATTGCTCACCCAACAATCATTATGAGCAATTGTTGCAAAAGGTTCCCGTGGGATTTCCGGGAGCAATTCCCGATCAAACCCTTCCAGGATACGCTTCTCCAAGTGGGAGATTTCCGGAATTTGAGCCACCATTTCCACAATGGCCGCTCTATACTTATCATGCATTTCTTTCTTCGGTAACCATGGTGATAAATATGGTCGCACTTCCGTATTGAATACTTCCGGTTTGTGCAACTTCAACCCAATTGGTACGGCATGCAGTGCTGCCAAATTTCGCAAAATGAGTCGAGTGATGGGCATGTCGAGTCCGGCACTCCGATCCACACCCACATAATTCGCAATTTTCAAATTCTCCAATAAGAGAATAGCGTCTGAATCAACGTGTTCACTTCCGGTGAGGTTGAGTCGACTCCCGAAGTACTTGGGGTAGAAATCGACAACTTCCGATCCAAATTGAAGTTGAAAGTTTTCCAGGGTTGGCACTATTTTTCGATAGAATTCAATTTCGTTCCGGAATGTGACTGAAGTGTTGAAAATTTCTTGAATAGCGACATTCGGGGGCACCATTTTCGCCACAAGATGTATATTTTCATTTCCGCCGGAAGTGTCAAGAGTCACATCAACGCTCAACATGAGACTTCCGTAGTTCTCTCCCGGTGCGGTAAGACGCGCAATTTTGTACTCTTTGAGTTTTTTCAACGGAGGAAGAGAAAGTAAAGAGGAGAAATTTTTAATCGTGATTGTCTCAGACATGTTTGATCAGAAACTGATGCGAAATGCACCGAGGAGTGACCTTGTTGTTATTATGTTTAATCTTTTCATTTACTCGTCGCGGAAGTGATAAATTTATTGCGTAATTACGGCTTAATTGCAATTAAATGCATTTTGAAGTAGAGTGCTATGGCACAGTGACAAGAAATTGGCGGTAGATGGCGTTTTATGTACACTCCGTAACAAAACGCCCAGATCGTTTAATAATTATGCTTATGGAGACTGTCCATTGCAAAATTGTCACTATTTTTTTTAAATACAAGAAAGAGTCTGAATTTAGAAGAAAAAATAAATTTTAGTGTTCAATAATAATTAAAACAATTATATTCAACCCAAAGTTAAGAAAAAAAAATATAATAACATTCCAAACTTATTTGTAAAGTTTGATTTTTTTTTAATGGAAATTACCAAATCAAAATTTTGGTGAAAAAATTGGTAGCACCTTGTCTCCTCGCCACAAATTTTGTTTGCTCTTTGTTTTTGTCCCTAGAAATTTTATTAAAAAATTATGGTTATGTGTTCAAATTGAGATGTCAAAATTTTGACTTTTATGAATCTTGTGCCGGTTTGCCCTTTGAAAGCGCTATAATTGAATACCTGAGGACAGACATCATTACCTAAGGTCTAAAGACAGAATTCAGTGCTAATAATTTTGACAGAAACACACCGCAAGTAAGTACAATGTTGTGGACAAAAATGAAATTCTTGCTACAAAAAAATTGATAAAAAAGAATGTATATACAGAAAAAAGTTATTTAGCAAAAGATACAAGTGGGTATTATGATGATTGGCAATAAATTTTGTGTAATTTATTGAAATGAGCTCAAAGTTTTATAAATTTTTATTCATTTTATAAATTCTTCTTCAGCTTTAGTTTCAAAATTATTACTTTTCAACTCGTTCCTCACAAACGATGCACAAGACACTAATTTAATTGCGTTCTCTCTGAGGTTCTTTCTTATTCATGTTTATTTTGCATTCTTGTCAATTTTTTGCTAAAAATTAAGAATGTTTAGCAAACCTGCATTAGAAATTGATTCTACATTTTAACGGGTCCTTTTTCTAACTTCCTGCTTGCGAACTATTCGTTTCCAAATTTCGAAAAACTGTTAGTGTACTGAATTTGTTTCTTTTTTGTTTTTCGTCTCTAAATATTCTTAGACGATTTTTTGTGTTGACGTTTAATGACAATGTTTTGAAATTAATTCAAAAAACCGGAACTGCCAACTTCCTTTATTAAAATAACCATGAATGAATTTATTAGTGATACCAACGTTAAGACTGTTTGGCATTTCCATTTAAAAAAAACAGACTTTACACTCGATACAGATTTTTTATTCTTACAAATGTACACAATTTTTCCGTTGAATATCCATAAATATAATGTAAATAAAAATTTTAACACGCACCTCATTTCGTACTTTTCAATAATTTTTATCACCGTTTAAAACAATTTTAAAATTTCTCAGTTATCAGATTTCGACAGCGTGCGCATGCGTGACGTTTAGATTTCTTCAAGACTCGGGGAAAAATTTTCAGTTCACAATTCGTCACTTACCTTCTTTAAGCCCAAAAGTGTGCAGAAACACTATTTAAGTCACCATTTTGTCATTTTCACCTCACTCGCGACATTTATCACAGTTTTTCCATCGTTTTTGTTTGATTTTCTTGAAGCGTGTGAGCCAAATTACGCGAAATGTCAAAAACTGTCAGAATTCCAAAGCACCCTATGTTCTATGTTTTTTCTTTAAGTGTAAATTTAGGAACTTTGCGGCCTTTTTGAGTCATGAAAGTCGCGCTTTCCATAGTTTTTGGTTAAATTTTCGTATTCTATTTTCGCCCAATCTTCGCATTTTGCCCTTTTTTACTTTTATTAAAAGTGTGTGTCGAAAAAACCAAAAGCTAGTGGTGCAACAAAGATGGTCTAATTAACGTTTCTATAGGTGTGATAAAGCAAAAGCTATCACTCTTTTAGTTTAGTATGTTACAAAATACAAAACAACCACATCGATAAAGCTGTCAAATTACACAAACAAAATAGCCTGAAAAACAAAAACAGGCAAAAATAGAGTAACTTCTTTACTAAAATAAGATTATTAAAAAATAAACATTAATTATTTCATAGTTTTAATATTTTAATTTACAACAATCTTCTGAGAAAAATTTATAGTTCTACCATACTAAAAAAATTGAGTTTGTCATCTATTTGTTGTAATAATCAATGTAATTTAGACTTACTCATGATTACTTTACCACTCTCCACAATTCCACTTTAAAAACTAAAATTAATTAATTAAAATTAATTCAGGCAACCAGCTATACACTGGTGTATAAATACCAAGCAAAATAAAACGAACAATTAATAAGTTAATAATTTATATTTATAGTGAGATTACAATTGCTACAATTACTAACATTAATGAGAAATGACGGATTCCCGTTGGGATTATCCGTTTTGGTGATTTTAATATTTTGATCTGAACTAGAAAACTCACTCCCGTTGATAACAATCTCGTCTTTGCATCGACTCGTCGATAAACCCGCGACTTCATTATCATTAATATTATATAAAACTCGATTCGCACAATTTGATTCTTTCTCGTTCGCTTCGCTCGCACTCGACAACTCATTATCACTCATCAACTCCTCCTTGACATTCACCGGAACGTCAACATGAAGCGGATTGGCCACTTCACTTCCTTGAATAATCGGGGAATTCCTCACCAAACCTTCGGCAAAACTCGGAAAATTCCACCGGCCGAGTCCGGCATTCGCCGCGAGAGTGGCCGAAGTTCGCCGAAACGCCCTCCCAGTGTAACTCTCGGGATTTTCCAAATTCAGAAACTTCGCGATGCGACACGGAATTTCAATGAAGGTGTTTCGACCCACCGGTTGGTTGAAACATCGCCCCCCTTGATACCGCATGAAGAAACGCGGACTTTCAATTGTTAATTTCGATCGCAACTCGATGTATTTCTTCACTTTATCTATGTGTTCGGTGATTATGAACATTCGGGACATCCCCGTTTTCGAATCGGGGATTGTGACAATGAACAAGTCACCCGTTTCTTTCACATTTTCCAGTTTCATGCCGCAGAGTTCGTGACTGCGACACGCGCCGGTGATTCCCATCAACATCACAACCTGAAATTTTTAACTAGTTTTTTATTGAAAAAAGTTGGCTAGTCTGACTGAATTTGACAGGGTTGCCAACTTAATTTCAAGCCACAGGCCACTTTGACCAGAAATTTAAATTAAATTACCTTCATGAGTAAGTATTTGTCATCAGGGGCCTCTTCCAAGAACTGACTGATGCCCTCCCTGCTAAAAGTGTTGGACTTTTTCGGCTTGTAGCCCGCATTCTGTCGTTTCAGGAACGCCCTAAGTTTCAGGAACTTTGAAATATCGACATTTTCGTTGACAAAAATCGTCGTTTTCAGCATGGAATATTCGCACCACAGACTCGAAGGCGATTTCAGTACTGAGGCTTTTTCTTGAAAGTACGACAAGAGCAAGGACTCCGAAACTGAGGCGTTGTCTTTAGCTAAACACCAATCTTTGAATAATTTATACGTCGATTCGTAACGCTTCTTCGATTTTTCAGGGAGTAAAGGCGAACTTACGAGTGCTGGTTCTTCCATTTTTCACACACACTTTTCAGGATTGTTTTTATTTACAAATAAACAATTTACACGACTTGACAACAAGCAGAAGGTAACTAGGGGGACTAATTACATTTCCGGTGTCGTAAGTGTGTTATTATTACTGTGACTGACATTTCACTACAGGGAGGTAGGTTGATTTTACCGACCGAGGGTGTCACTGCACAAAAAACAATCACAAACAAAGGGGATAACATTTCATTGTGACATTCGAAGCAAAATCTAAATCTGTTTACCGTTTTTTAACCATTTACGTCACTGTTTTTATTAATGTATTAGTAAATATACTGAGCAATTGCAATTTTCGCGCTTACGGGATTTCTAGCAACTCTAGTTGTGTTTCTGTACCAACTTCTAATTCAAAACACCCTAAAATTTAAATTTTCAAAATTCTGTGTTCCTGTACAAGTAATAAAAATGACGTTTGACACATTCCAAAGAGTTTTATTAATTTCAACAATTTGTGTTTCATTTTCAGGTTTAAGTAAATCTTCAGTAAACTTAAGGTGTTGGTCATGTAAAGATAAATGTGAAAAACCGGTAAAACAAGTATGCACAATTAATGAAACGTTGTGTTATTTTATAACAGCCGCAGGTAAGTTGAATATTTTAAGGAAAAAAAAAAAACTGAAAAAGTCGTTAGAGGCCGGACGCGAATATAGAGGATGCACAGTGAAAACATCAGATTGTAACAAGATGAAACTTGACCTAAACGCAACTTACTGTAACATGTGTCATGCAAATTACTGTAATTCCCCTGCAGGAAACGGTTTAAAGTCATTTTGGTGGGTCGCTCTAGCCCCAATCCCACTTTTTATTTAAAAATTGAAATAAAAATAAAACAAAATTTCTGTCTCCCGGTTTATTTAAAACAAAAATGGTGTTCAACGATCAGAAAATAACCAAAATAATAATTTTGTTTGATAAAAGTGTATCACTGTAACTAGGTTTGTGATAAAATTTAATAGACGGCGCTAATTGACTGAATAGAACACTGTAAAAATCCTTTATTAAAAACAAATAATCGCAGATTAAAATAAAATAACAATTTACATGATGATCTGGGGCTCTGGCACCGACACGGTGATATTTTTATGCGGGAGGACTTGTCCCCCATTGATATACGTTTCATCTTTGACGATGACATCCTCCCCTAAGACTGTCGTCCCCTCCATTCGTACCCACTTCCCCACCGAGCATCTCCACCCCACGATGCAATTCTCCAACCACGAATTCGACTTAATGACAGCATCCCTCAAAATCGTCGACCTCTTCACACAGACACCCTCTTCAATCACCACTCCTGGACCTATCGTCACATTCGGACCGATTTGACAATTAGGGCCGATCTTCGCCGAAGGGTCCACCAGGACGTTGCCCACCACGCCGGGGCCTTTATACAACTTGTCGGCGTTTTTCGTACGCAAATCCTTCAAGTAGAGACACATCCCGGTGAGGAAGTCCTTCGGCTGGCCCACGTCCATCCAGAAGCCCTGCAGCTCGAAAGCGTACAATTGCTGGTCGGAGACCATGTCGGGGAACACCTCCTTCTCGATAGAGGTGGGGCGCAGCTGGATTCGGCTCACCACACTCGGGTTCAGGATGTATAGGCCTGGAATTATACAACTCACTCGCCTACGTCTCGACAGAAAACATTTCTTAATTTTACATAACTGATCAAAAATTATACAGGGTACGTCAGAACTCGCGCACCAGAGAAAGGTAAGATACAAAAATGTTTAAAAAATTCTATCTGTCAAAAAATTTTGACGTTTATTTTTTGACATTTTACATTTTTTTATATCTATTGAATGATACTGATGATCTTGTAAAGTCTGTTTTTTTTTAAATGGAAATGCCAGTCTTAACGTTGGCATCACTAGTAAATTCATTCATGGTAATTTTAATAAAGGAAGTTGGCAGTTCCGGTTTTTTGAATTAATTTGAAAACAATGTCATTAAACGTCAACACAAAAAATTGTCTAAGAAAATTTAGAGACGAAACACCAAAAAAGAAACAAATTCGGTACACTAACAGTTTTTCGAAATTTGGAAACAAATAGTTCGCAAGCAGGAAGTTAGAAAAAGGACCCGTTAAAATGTAGAATCAATTTCTAATGCAGGTTTGCTAAACATTCTTAATTTTTAGCAAAAAATTGACAAGAATACAAAATAAACATGAATGAGAAAGAACCTCGGAAAGAACGCAATTAAATTAGTGTCTTGTGCATCGTTTTTGAAAAACGAGTTGAAAAAGTAACAATTTTGAAACTAAAGCTGAAGAAGAATTTATAAAATGCATCAACTTTGAGCTCATTTCAATAAATTAGACAAAATTTATTGCCAATCATCATAATACCTACTTGTATCTTTTGCTAAATAACTTTTTTCTGTATAAACATCCTTTTTCTTCAAAGTTTTTGTAGCAAGAATCTCATTTTTGTCCACAACATTGTACTTACTTGCGGTGTGTTTCTATCAAAATTATTAGCACTGAATTCTGTCTTTAGACCTTAGGTAATGATGTCTGACCTCAGGTATTCAATTATAGCGCTTTCAAAGGGCAAACCGGCACAAGATTCATAAAAGTCAAAATTTTGACAACATCTCAGTTTGAACACATAACCATAATTTTTTAATAAAATTTCTAGGGACAAAAACAAAGAGCAAACAAAATTTGTGGCTATGGAGACAAGCTGCTACCAATTTTTTCACCAAAATTTTGACTTGGTAATTTCCATTTAAAAAAAAAACAGACTTTATATGTTTTTTTGAAATCATTTAAAAGTACAAAAATTTTGCCAATAAATCCCATAAATAACATTGAACAGAGTTACAATTTAGGATACAGCTTTCTTGTTTCTTCTTTTAATAGTCTATAGCAAAAAAACTTGAAAAATTAATTTTCCAACAGAAATAAATAGTCATAGTGCAAAATTAAAACCCTCATAACTTGGAATTTTTTATAGATAAATTTTTTTAACATTTATTCTATGACCCTGGTACCTTACCTTATATGGCATTTTTCTCTGGGACGTGAGTTCTGGCGCACCTGTATTTTTTTAAATAAAAAAAGCCTCAAAATTTCGATTTTGGACAAAATACTTTTTTTTAAATATTAATTTAACAAGAAAATACACTCACTCGCCTACGTCTCACGAAAATTTTTTATTTAATTTTGCAACTGTTCAAAAATTAATTTTTTCAAAATTTAAAAAGCCACAGAATACATTCACCACATCTCAAAATTAGGAGTTTGGCCTGTAATTTTTGTGTTGCATTAATTTAATCGAGAAAAAATTAAATCTTTTGATTTCAAATAACAATAATTTATGAATTTAAATAAATAATAGAATGACCTCGACTTTGAGTAATGGAAAATATACAACCAACAAATTTTCCATAAAATTCGTGCAAAAAAACTGAATCTAGTTTATTACAACAAACCCACAAAAAAATTCCAAACCTCGTAGATTTTAAAATATCATTAATAAAAATTAATAATAAAAGTGGCCTTTGTGACATCTTTTTCAATCTTACCAACCTAGTTTCAGTCACTTTGATGAATTTTTAGCGGTATATGTCAAATTTTCATGACATAGTTGACGGTTAGTATGTTATGATGACAACTTAATATCAAAATCACAGGCCACTTTGGCCAAAAACTTAAATGAACAAATTTTTAATAATGAATTATTTACGACAGACAAAATAATAACCATGTCGTAATTATCGAATATTCACCTGTGGGCTGAATTGTATACAATAGTAATTATAATTAGAGTTAAAAAACTTTAATTTCTTCGAGTCATTCATCACTAAATTATTGTTAATACAATAAGCAGGAAATTATTAAGATTTACGTCAAGACAATTATTTTTAATCTTTACGTCAAAATCTTAATTGTTTTTACCTGTTTTTAATTAAAAATTACCGAATTAAAGCGTAGTCAAGAGTGCTTAGTCCAGGTCTGTTAACACTATAAAAAAATTAAACTAAATTTTTTAAAATGATACTACAGTTGTTAATTAACAAAATAACAGAATTTACAAAAAAGTCTATTAATTAGTAAGAAATTACGAAAATCAGTTTGTTTAAATTTAAAAAATAGTAGATTGTTCTATAAGTTAAGAAAAGTGGTTGTTTTCCAGTGAGTGTAAAAGTTTCAACTCACGAGCGAGCGCAGCTCGCGAGTGGATTAAATTTACACGAACGAGGAAAAATCACTTTTCTTAACGTCTTGAACATGCTATTTTTTCGTGTATTTGACCAAAAGGACTAAAATATAAAAATGAAGAAAAATTAATTGATCAAGGTGTCATATTTTGCTAACATGGTAGCAAAATAAGAGAACGATGTTTTTATTAAATAAATTTTTGATTGTGCTATGATTGTGCAAAATGACTGAATTGGGTGAAGGGTTTTCCAATATTTTAGCAACAGTAGCAGAAATTAGTTCAAACTTGCTACCGTCGAAGGCAAGAGAAAAGTATGAGAAAACTTATGAACAGTTTTGTTCATGGAGAAAATCAAAAAAAGTATAGGGAAGTGATGAAAACATCCTAATCGCTTTCTTTTTTGAAAAAGTATTTGTAATTAATTACATTAATTTTCAGTACTAATTTTTAACGTATTGTTGTAGGCTAAAAGTTTGAAATCTTCAACATTGTGGTAATTGTATTCAGTGTTAAAAAGTACGCTGGCTATTAATGAAAATGTTGACATTTCTACTTATAAAAAGTTGCTTGCATATTTAAAACGTCAAAATGATGGATATGTGGCCAAAAAATCTAACATTTTTACGATGGGTAACATCAACATGTTTTTCACTAAGGCCACGGATGACACAAGACAAGAAGGTAGTTATGATTTTTGCTTTACATATGGAGCCTGTCGAGCTGATGAATTACCTTTGCTAAAAGTAGAAGATGTTAATAAAATTTAATACTTTAAATAATTGTACATTTTGTATTAATATTCATAATTAAAAAGTTTAATTGTTGCTTAATTTGATGATCGCAAAGTATTCGTGAAAAGTGTTGGTAACTGAAATCGTGAAAAAATGTGTTGCTAACAATCAAAGTCCCACTTTTCTTTACGATTTTGAATTGAACAATATACTACATTTCTATCAAATACACAAAAAAATGTTTTTATGTTGGTACACCTTAAACCTGTCAACTGTCACGCCCTCTCTCCTAACCCCACTTTCCTACCTGCATTGATTTTATTCGAAATAAACTCCTGAGGCTTCTCCACGAAGCTCTCGATGCAGTGTTTCTCATCGTAGACCACCACCCCATACTTGGAGGGCTCCTCCACCTTGGTTACGACAATGGTCCCCTCCTGTCCATGATCCCTGTGAAACTTGGCCAATTCTTTGAAGGGAAAATCACAAATAATGTCGGAATTGAGAACAAAGAACGGCTTCGGACTCTTGAGGAGATGCTCCCGGGCCAAGGCAATGGGCCCCGCAGTCCCTAAAGGCTCACTTTCGTGTGAAAAAATCAAACTTATTCCTAATTTGACAGCTTCGGCTTTCAACTCTTGTTCCATCTGTTCGGCTCGGTAAGACACCGCGAGGATGACTTCCGTGACGCCGGCCTCGACGAGGGCTTCCATCTGGTGGAGGAGAATCGGCTTGTTGGCGAATTCCACCAAGGGCTTAGGCCGGCTTAGAGTCAAGGGGCGGAGGCGCGTACCGTAGCCCCCCACGAGGATCAAAGCCCGCATTTGCTCTTTCGTCATATTTAGGGGCTGCTGCGCTGGCAAGACACGTCACATTTAATATCATCTAACTGATAAAACCATCCAATTAACCTTTCGTTGTTTGACAGATGACGTGTAAACAAACAACAAGGAGGGCCAACGTAACTATGCGAAACACACTAAATTGGTTCATACAAACCACAAAAAATAATAATTTATGGTTTTGTGCACACTTTCGATTACAACTCCGCCCCAGGGGGTCACTACAAATGCGTTTTTAAACCATAACATTTATTAACCTTACTTAGTTTAACAAATTACAAACAACAAGGACTGCCAACATGACGCGAAACACACTAAATTGGTTTATTCAAATTACAAAAAATAATAATTTATGGTTTTGTGGACACTTTCGATCATAACTCGCCCCAGGGTATCACCACAAAAATGTATTTTAATTTGTGAACTTGTTTTTGCGGAATATTAATAAGGAGTAAAATTATTTTAATCCAACACTTACGTAAACATTACTCAAAACTTAATAATTTATTCAACCCAGATTTGTACAATATACAAAATATAAATACACGAATGACAACAAAAAATTGCCCCTCAAAGAATTAATTTTCGTTACATTGGTATTCACGAAAATTATTGCGTCTTTTTATCCAAATACGTGTTTTTATAGAATTTCCCGAAGAGATAGATAATGAAAAGCACGTTGATTGAAAAGAGACCCATCCAAAACTTGGGGTACGAGCAATTAGGGTTCACCACTGAAGGGAAAACACACAAGAACACCAAACAGTGTTGCACCTTAAAAAAAACACTAAATTTCAGTTACCCAACCTGCATGTACTTACAATTTGTAATACAGTGACGTATTTTTTCCACCACAGTGTTTGACTTGATTTGAACGAACTTAACAAGTAATAACAGTACATTATAAGATGAACAAACGTGTTGTATAAGCCCACAAAAGAGGCTTGTCCTCCTGGGAAGTATTTCCCCGAAACCCAGGCGGCTAGAAGGATACCAACATGATGATAAACATGCAAGAATGACACTTGACGTTCTTTTTTCCGAAGAACGAAAAACATCTAAGGAAATTTGTTTTGTTAAAAGTCACAAAATTTAATTTACTTACGGTTTCAATTAAGTCAAAGTATTTTAAAAGAATGTATCCGTAGTGAAGGTCTATACTGTGCAACACTTCTTGACGGTTTGATTTTTCATAAGGGGTGCAAAAAACGCTTAAATTATTGAAAGTTCCTGCAAACTATAGTAAGACATGACTTGGGGATTTTGTTTTTCAACAGTTATTTTACCCCTAAGAACAAGTATAGATTCCAGAAAATTTGTATTACATTATAACCGATTATTGTAGTTTTGAGTGAAAAAGGTTTCCGATTTTTCATAAACCTTGGGCCGATTAATAAAACAGAAAGTAGATAAAGTCCCAAAGTTGTGATTAATTGAAGTGGTGAATTCATCAAAAATCGATTCATGCGTAAATCTAAAAAGACAAATGAGAAATGAGTGAAAAAAAAACAAAAATACAATACCGGAAATTTGGGGCGAATCCGTTAACACATCCAAAAATTTGCGCACCGACGTAGACATCGTGTTTGTGGTTGTTGTTTCTTCTACTAAACTGTGTTGTGAAAACTAACAATCATGGTCAGCTACCTTATGGAATTTACCATAATTTATCTAACCTTCCACCGCTGACTAATAAAAATGATGATTGGCTTATTAATAATTGATGCCAATTGTGCGTCAAATATATATTGTAAAAATTTTGCAAAAAAACTAATCTGGGGGCACAAAGAACTAAAAAACGTAAACAAAACATTAAATTCGTTAGGTGACAAATCCAAGGCTGCTTTCTAACATTAACCTCGATCGTGGAGGAATTGACGGGATTTCCGGGGCGCAACCAAAGGTTGGCACCACTGACATGACAACGCCACCCTTGTGAGTTAGAAAATAAGTTGGCTGCGTTGTAGAAAAAAAAGTATACGACTCGGGTTTTAATTAAAGAAAAAAATTTAGGTTCAATTAATTCTTCTTTTAAAATCCACCCCGTATATGTCACAATTAGTCGTAGTAGATATGCCTTCCTTACTTAAATATTCAAGGTCGGTTTATTGGCAAAATGTTTGTTGCTGTGACTTGTCATTTTTGTAAAATTCCTGAAACGGGGGGTGGGGGACACCTCCCCATCCCTCCACTCACACCTTTAGTGACCCTTCAACTCTTGACCATGACACAGGCAATGTTTGACTCGTCCAAGGTCACCTTGGTACCATTGCAGAGACCGACCAACAGACCTAGACGTTGTAAATACACAACATATCAGATTTGTCTGTTGGAAAATGCCTTTCAACAGAATTGTTATATACAGAGTGATGAGCGAAAAGAGCTGTCAAAAATGACCGATCTTTCAGAAAGACAAGTGAAATTTTGGTTTCAAAATCGACGATCGAAAATGAAACGCAAACTGAAACAAGAAATGGAAATTGAACAACGTGTCAATGAATATCTTTTGCGTTTGATACAGGATGTTCGAAATGAATGTCCGGTCGAGGTGCAGCCGAGCCAGTCGCAAGCTGCTGCTTTGTTTACTTGCCCGCATGAGTATTTTCATGAAGGGTTTATGCAATGTCCTTGTTCTTATGATTTTATGACGGGTACTAATTAAGTACCCGATCGTTTTTAGAATTTTATTGTATTTATTTTTATTTTGCATAATTGTTACGTTTGATTGTAATAAAGACATTTTTATTTCTGTTTTTAAATCAGTCTACAACTAGACATAACCTCAAAAATTATTCAAAAATTCGAACTTATAAGAAAGTTGTAGAATTATAGCACTTGGCCAAGTGCTCGTGTGCAAGTTTTGTGATTGTGAAATGAAGTCGGCCACTTTCATAATGAGATTTAAAATTTAATTGTAAAAATGCAAATCTCATTTTCATTCAATTAAATTGTAATTTTGAATTAAGTTAGCAATATTGTTCATGTACAGGGTGTTTCACATAATTTTACGAAGCCTGCGCCTGTAAGATGCATTCAATAATACATATTCCGATACGAACTCGATTACAAATTTTGTTCACCCTTTCAAAAATTCCAACATTTTTAGTTAGTTAGTGATTAAGATAGATAAACTAGAATCATAGTCATGCCGTCTCTGTATAGAACAAATGATAATTGTTTCTGAAAAACTGTAGTTTAAGACTAATAATGAAACAGTGATTAATTTAACAACTACTGTCATGGGTTTCCAAAAATTAAATAAATAAATGTGTATTTTTTGTATCTAGCATTTTGTGAATTTTGTATATTTGGGTGCGTGCATTAGACGCAGGTCGTAAAGTTAGTTATGTGAAACACCCTGTATAGAGAGGAGATATGAAAATTAACGATAAATGTTGTTCTTTTAAGGTTAACAACATTTTTTTTTGGTTACTAGATTAGAATTTAACCTAACGCACACAGCTAAAACAAAAAGCGAACTTTAGACTAACAAAACATTGTTAAAAGTTTTGAAATTTTGTTAAAAAAATGGAACTTTCCAAACACAGAAAATAAACCGTTAAACTATATTGCCACCTGACAAAATTTCGATTTATCAATTAATAAAAATCACAGAAAAAATATAGTATACAAGTCGAGTTAGAACAAAGTTACACAATCGTCGAATTGTAGAATTCGGACTACGGGCTCGTTGACACTTTCTAAGTTTTTAGGTATTTGTCAAGTTTGTT